ACTATATAGTATAGTAATATAGTAATAATTTAGTACTTTCTCCTGTTTTATTGTTGGTTTCCTTTTGGAATTAGGATAAAAAGACAAAATCATTTGGAATTAGGATAAAAAGACAAAAAAAAAAAAAACATGCAAATAAGTTCAAACAACCATTCAATATCTATTATTTCCTGAATATTACTGATGAACTGGTTTGTTATTTCCTGAAAAGTTATATTTTAGCTGGTGTCAATGATCTTATGTTGCATTTGGTCAGACTCAGCCCATTGCTTTACTTAAGTATATTATATTTTCCTTTTACAGCTGCAGACTGAGGAAGATCCTGAAACACACCAGCAAACCCTAAAACAGACAACAGTTTACAGATGTTCTGGCAGCAGAACTATGAGTAAACTTTTGGGTGAAACTTGTTTACTTTTTTCTTACTTTTATTACTTGTGGGAAAACTTGAAACACTTTTAAATAAGTATAAAGAATGGCATTGGTTTTGTACATTTAATTTTTGTTTAACGTTATTAATAAAAATGTTGTTCAATTAGCATGTTTTTGTGTTTTGCTTTGGTACCGAAATTGGTACCGAGAACCGTGGATTTTCACTGGTATTGGTACCGAATACTGAAATTTTGGTACCGTGACAACACTAATTTGCAGGTATACACCGTATGACCACCTAGACCATACAAATAACTAGGGATGTAACGATTCACTCAACTCACGATTCGATTCGATTCACGATTTTGATTTCACGATTCGATTCACTTTTTTTTTTTTACAAAATGAGATTTAAGAAAAATTATAAATTAAATGTGTCCTTTTATTATTGCTTAGACAAAATACTGTACGTTTCTTTGTGAAATTGAAATATAACACTATAATAATATACTAATATAGCACTTGCATTATTATTGCTCTTTTGTTGGTTTTGATTGCTTCTATTGTCCTCATTTGTTAGTCGCCTTGGATAAAAGCGTTTGCTAAATAACAACATTTAAATTTAATAAATTTAATAATAACAAAGCTAAATTTAAAATTTAAAACAAGCCCCAAATCAAATAAATAAGTAACACAAGTAACACAACTTCATATAAACAAACTAAGGCTTTGTCTGTGCTCTTTCCATTTAAAATTAGAGGCAACCACTGCATTTTAATCATGATCCAAACAAAGATGCTGCATACATGCAACATGAGCAGTTTTTAAACTAAATTAGATTGTATA